ACCGACGTGTTCTGGTGGAAGCCACCAGAGACCGAGGTCCTCTGCCGCTAGGCACTTCTGTCAACTGGGAAAAATAAACGTTTCGGGAAGAAAACAAAAATTATCTGTATCTCTTGAGAGATGGATTTTTGGACGACATTCGTGTCTGCAGGTCGTTCGCGCACGCAAGTCGCGGTTTTTCTTCTCCGATTTCGGGATTTGATTTGCGACCCCCCCCCTGCGCGCGTGGAGAGAGCCTTTACCCTTAGGAATCTTAACTCCTCAAGGGGAGAGTCCCTTTATAAAGGGTTGCAAATCCCTTGGGTTTTCCGGTGTGGGAAATTAACACTAGAAACCCATCCTTTTTCCCAGTTTTTCCATTCTAACGGGTAAACTTCGAAAAGCGATTTCTCATTCACCCGTTATCCGTTTTGAGCGTACCATATATCGAATTGTAGCCCTTAACAAGGACAATCCGAAACCACTTTGACCCGACCCAAATCGGAAGTGGACCCCACTCAAAAAATTGCCCCAAAATAGCCATTTAATGCAATTTTTCACACATTTTTCCAACAATATGTCCTTAATTGTTAAAATAATAATTCATATATAAGAGCATCATCATTCATGCTCTGTAAATAAACGATTTTTTATTACACGTCATTGCCACATCACATTTATTCAATAATTTTTGAATAATATCATAGCTTAAAACTCTTCATGAACAACAATACTCAAATAATCAGATTTTTCCGGGCATGCAATAAATGTAATTCAACTAGAATTTAAAATATTCTGGGATTTGAATCTTGATACCGGATTTTTTTCCAATAATCTCACTAAATAATCTTTCATTTACAATGGTAATCTTTAAAATAATCTTACACATCATACAATTGATCTTCAAATAAACTCATGGATGAGGATGCTCTAAGTGAAGGAAAATAGTCAAGACGTAATAGTATACGTAATAAATTATAATTAATGAAAGGATAGTAAGCACTCATTAATGGTAGTAAGTATAAATTATAATTAAGGAAACAATATTAAGCACTCGTGTATGGGTAGCAAGTATGTTTTTTAAAAAAATTGTTACAAAAGGATTCTACAATCTTCACATTTCAAAATATCTAATTTTAATTACAATACCAACAATACTATTAATAATATCTAATTTCATATAAACTAATATCATATTATAATAATATATTAATATATCAAAATAATAAAATAATATAAAAAAATAGTTTATTAGTAATATTAGTAAAAACCCCTAACCCTATTACATTTTGTATGAGAAAAACATAAAAAATGTTTTTTATTATTCTTCTTAAAACATCACAAAAATTCATTCTGTTAGCATTATATCAGTTATTTAATCAACAATAACTCTTTCAAAGAAATTTAGAGTAATAACAACAACAACAATAATTGTATGTTTAATTAATAGACAACTATTTCACAATGTTATTCGTCTAATTGGCATGTTTAGAAGAGGTCAGCACAGCTAGACCTGACCCAATTTCGAACAACCCAGTCTAGCACCATGTATTTATTACTGCCCCAACGACGAAACCCTACTCCTTATATAACGTAACCCATCTTTACCCTGCGGATTTTCCGTTTGTCCTTCGGCGTACTGGAGAGACCATCGGTCTTCTCCGATCTTCTCCGATATTCTTTGATGACCTGTGTCGTCTGTAATCTCATACCACCACACCTCAAACACTTCTTTCCTTGTTTGTCCTTCGATGAAGCCTCATTCAACCAACTTTAATGTGACGAAGGCTGAGGGATCTTCAAAGGGTCACAAACCTAACATCTTCTTTCAGCATCTCGGTATACCTTACACGATTACTGTGTTTTATCACTTTCCTATACGCTTGCACTAGTATTTGATTTTATTTAAGTGGCATAATCAATTGATATTTTTCCAATTTAATCTGGGTTTATATTTGTCTGATATTTCCTTTTCAACAACTGTTACGGCTAAGTATGTTGGGAAATCAAAGGATCTCTGACCTTACCTCTCCTTTTGAAATTTTGGCAGATCATTCATTATTCCTTTGTTTTATCACTTTTATGTGTACATGCACTTTAATAAGATTTTATTTAAGGGATTTATTTACTTTAGTAAGTTTTTTTCAAGTGTAAAGTGAGTATCTTTTTGACCGATCTTGTCTTATTGCTCCACATATGATAATCATCAACTGTCATTACTGACCATAGCGGTCATAATTGAGGCTGAGTGATAACTCAAAGAACTCAGGCCTTACATGTTTTCTGACGGATGTTAAGATTTGCTAAGGTGTGGATATCTCTCAAGGTATAATGTTTGAGAGTGGTGTATGTAGATATATCCGTATCAGATCCGTATTGGAAATAATCTCAATTTCCATGTAAATTGTTTATATCATATATGTGAAGAAAAATCTTTCTAATGGGAAATATTTTGAATTTCTTTATTTAATTACAAATTGTATTAGGTTATATGTTAAGAATTAATTCCACTTTTGGTCCCACGAGTTTTGTGCCAATTCCACCTTTAGTCCACGTCATTCATTTTGTCCACTTTTGGTACTTGACTAATGTTTATTAACCATTTGTGGTTCTTTTCCGGCGATTTTAATCATCGGAAACAATGCCGGAAAGACCATATATGGGCGAAAATACAATAGCCACGTATCAAAAGTGGACAAAGTGAAAGATGTGGACTAAATGTGGAATTGACATAAAACTCGTGAGACCAAAAGTGGAATTTATTTTATATGTTAAAGTAATAATTAGTTTCAATAGTCTAAAACAATTTATTTTTTATATGATGTATATTAGATATACCACTTATTATTTATATAGTATATAAAAATCGCTTTTAGAATATGAATATTATATATTATCTATATTATATATAATCATTCTAATTGTTTTGTTTAACAAAGTATATAAGAACCACACTTAAAATATATATAAACAATTTTTATGAACACACACACACATATATCTAAACATTTTCTGTCCCAGATTTTCAAAAAAAAAAATTATGTTGTTATATATTATACATATTATGAAGAGCTGCTATAATTAATTTAAAGATATTACATTGACTTAACCATGCATATAATAATGACACACTTTTAAAGGTTTACTTCTATATGATTTATATTTTCATTTTAATCAGTTTTGAAACTTTTCATCTTCCTGATGTTCACACTATGAAAAAAATTCACTTACTGGTTATAATGGCCCATTCCCTAGGACTGTCAGGTTCCATGCCAGCCACCGAAGTGGCCTTTGGAACTGTGTGGTCTGACAGTCCGTTGACCTGAAGGCTCGTAAGCTGTAATAAACCCTAAAAATAGATAAATTTTATCTATTTGTAAATGTTAAAACTACCTTGCTATGATGTCTCGCGAAACACACATTGATAGTCATTCCTGGAATGATTAGAATATGAACACATTCCTAGATGTGTTATCCTAATACAACAAACATTCATGAAAGCATTCCTTACCTGTAATGACAACAAATGTTCAATACTTTTCACATTGGAAGTAGAATATACCATCCGCTTTAGCTTAAAGAGTTCACATTCATACAACCTTTTCCAAATGCTCAAACTCCGTCAATACATTTTTTGAGTAACCATGTCTTCACATTAGATGTATTGTAGAATACTCTTTCCAAAAAAAAAAAGCATTTATGTGGTTATACTTATCTAAGGATGAACACCAGTGCTCATATTTCATTCATATAATTCAGTACTCTATTCATCCAATCAAATGCCATGTCCACCATTATGTTTTCATTAATGTGTGTTTGGTTCAATTTCACAATTCCACCAAATCTTCTAGTACTATAGGACATGCATCTAGCCAATAGTATTTGCATATTTTATTCCCATTAGGCCTTTTCTTGATCATTATCTTCATGCAGAAAAAGTGACTAAAACTTTGATTTACACCAAGGGCATGGGCTCCAATAGAAAGCCTTTGGAATTATGACATAATAATAAGAAATATTTTGAATTGGTTTTGACATGTTATGAATTGTTCTACAAATTTTTGTAAATATACTAAAAACCTTTTAGCCTTGTTAATTCCATTTTTTTTAAATAATGAAATTTTTGTCAATGATTTTCTCAGCATGTCATTTTGGGAGACTGTGAATGTTAACATCAGTTACATAAAAGAAGGCCTTCTGCTAGCCTTGTTGGTAATTCAAACATGAAATACTTGATTTACCTTATAAAGCCCGAAATAAATGTGTTAAATATTTTGAAGTGTAACCTTGCCTTTTAGAAAAGCGATTTCGTTATTTCTCTAATTTGCACCCTATTTATGTGATTTCTTGTTTCCTACTCAATTCTAACATTCTCTAAACTTTCCATTATAAATCTATAAACTGACAATATTTTAAACTTCATTCCAAATCACAAAAATCAGACGTTTGCAAATTAGATGTGTTAACTCGTAAATATTGATCTGTGTTACATTGAATGTATACTAATATTTCAAAGAAGGGGTAATTTGAGTTTGCACCCCACATTATTGTTCAAATTGGACTTTGCACCCTGTTTCTAAAAATCTTTGTTTTTGCACCCCAACCTCGTATGAAACACACAAAAATGCCCTCGATCAGGAACGTGTTTAAGGCCAACATAATTGTTAATGGGGGGCATTTTTGTCTTTTCATATGAGATTGAGGTGCAAAAACAAAGATTTTTTGAAACAAAGTGCAAAGTCCAATTTGGACAACAAAATGAGGTGCGATCTTAGTTTTGGACGGGAACACTGTACAATTTATCTCCTCCTTTTGTATAATAGAAGATTAATTAATTATAAGTAAGTTAGGTGTTAAATTTTAAAAGAGGGGATGATAAAAATGGAGAACAAAATGCACACATTCTAAATTCCTTAGAGAAATTGTGGTCTTACAAGCCCATTGGGTTCCAACTCAATAAATCCTAGCAGCCGAAAAGAATAAACTCAGGCCCAATGGCGGGAATCCCATCATTGTTTCACCGAAAAGGCGGGAAGCGGGGATGAGTTCCCATTATTAAACCCGAAATCCATAAAACACCACAGTAGACCCTAAGAACCTATCAAATCCCTAAACACAAGGAACAACACCATCAGCAAAGCTTCATAGCATTTCCTGTATTCGACTCAGAACCCTCGCTGGGAAGGGAGAAGAGCACATGTCGAGGCAATCGAGACCCAAATCGTCGTCCGAAGAGCCTCTATCGGATAGCTCGGAGGAGGAACGCGTCAATGATCAAGTTAGCGACGAGGTAGATGAGGCAGACGAGGAAGAACTCGAGGCCGTAGCTAGAACAGGGGAGGACTCGGAGTCGGAGGATCAGGAAGCGGATGAAGACAATGACGATGCCGCAGCTGCCGCCTCAGATGGTGAAGGTGACGGTGACGAAGAGAACGAGGTTTGTGTGTAGACAGTGCAGTTACTCTTTGTATCTAATTGTTAATTGTCGTCTTTGATGTACGTAGTATGTAAATTGCTTAGGGATGGTGGGGTGAGGTGGATCTGGAGTGTTCAAGGCTGTCGTGGGGATTCTTTTTCTTTGGAATTTGTATATTTTTACTCGTATTTTCTCACTTTGTGATTTAGATAGCTTCTTACAAAAAAATACTGGATTTCCATAGTATTGAGTTTGAAGTTCAGTTTTGCTTGAAAATGCATTTGGTAGTTCACCTAATTTAGAAGTAAGGTAACGTTTTTCAGGCAATCTATGTTCTTGAAAACACAAGAATTGTACAAAAGCTAAGCCTTTTGGCTTCTTTTAAAAGTTTCATAGATGAAGTTTTTTATATTTGGTTCATCAAGCTTTTATGGGCCTAAATGCCTAATATCTTATGAAGTTTCATCTACGCCAGTCTATATGCAAATTACAAAATTAACAAGGTTTAGCCCAAGTATTCGTTGTTGTAACCTATGTCATTCTTGCAGGAAGAAGATGGAGCAAATACTGGAATCGCAAAGCGTGAAAAGATGAGATTGAAAGAAATGCAGAGGCTCAAGAAACAGAAAATACAAGAAATATTGGATGCACAAAATGCGAGCATTGATGCTGACATGGTGCGTAAACTGAAACATCTGTTACTATTGCAGGTGAGATTGTATTGAGTGTGGAGGTGTATGAATTTTTTCTTTGTGTTGTAGAACAACAAAGGAAAGGGGCGCCTTAAGTATCTCCTGAAGCAAACAGAGATATTTTCCCATTTTGCTAAAGGTGACCAGACTTCTCAGAAGAAGACAAAAGGAAGGTATGCCAATACTCTCCTAACTGTTATTCCAATTTGTGAGCTTTGTTACTACCACTTTCTTTCACAACAACCAATGAGTTTGTTGAAAAATTAAGTGGTCAGTTTACAATCCTTGACTATTGTTGAATATGTTGTTCTGTGGGTGGTCTGATAACTTTTTGATGCCATACTTTGTTGAGCGACTGAAACAATGAAGTTGAACAGAGATTTATATTTGTGAAACTTGATTTGTATGAAAAAATTAAGGGTCTGTTTACTAACAGAGATATTGCTGGAAAACTGGAAAACTGAAAATAGGAAACGTGTTTACCAAAGAAAATTGCTGGAAAACTGGAGAAAGGAAAACAAAAAAAAAATGCGTTTACCAAATCGTTTTCCAAAACGAAAAAAATGAGACATGTCTCTCTTTTCCTTAATGAATTTTAAATTTGGAAAACGCAGATGCTATAGTGCCGCTGCAATGAATTTGCATACTTACACCTAATGGTGGGTCCGGTCTTGCTCCGATGTTGATTCCGGTACCTCCATTCTCTAACCTTACCCCTTACCCCTACCCACCCTAACCCCTACCCCGCGTACCCCTTTTCCCTACAATGACCCTACCCCACCCCTACCACATGCCCCTACCTTGGCCTCACGTTGATCCACCCTACCCTACCGCCACCCCTACCACCTTGACCCCACCCCGACCCAACCTACCCTACCCCACCCCTCGTATATTACCCTTACCACATGCCCTACCCTTCCCTTACCTCGGCCCCACCCTGATCCCGGCCCCACCCTACCGTCATCCTACCCCAACTTCCTACCCTACCCCTACCTTACCCCAACACCCACTACCCCTGCCCTTACCCCTAATCACGATCCTAACCCACCCAACCCCCTACCCATAGACCTTACCACCCCACCCCCACCCCCACCCCCACCCCCACCCCTATGAGTAGGTATGGGTGGGTATGAAGGGTTGTAGGGGAGTATGAGTAGAGTGTAAGATCGTGTTAAGGGTAGGGGTAGGGGTCAAGGGTGTGGAATTGGGTATAAGGTGTAGGGTGGGGATATGAGGTATAGGGGTATGGGTACACGTACGAGTGAAAAATGTATAGGGTTATTTTGGACATTTTCTAATAAGCACCATTTAGTAACCCGAGAAGTAAATGTATCCTCAGTCTTTTGGATGATCACAGAACTGAGTGAAAAAATTGATGAACATGTTTTCAGATTTGAAAATGGAAAACTAAAAAATAGAAACAGAAAATTGGAGATAGAAAAACTGAAAAATAAAAATAGAAAACTTGAGAACGAAAAACAGAAGTAGAAAACAGGAAAATATCTCTGTTAGTATACAGGCCCTAAATATTTTTCTCCATAATCCACAGGGGTCGCCATGCATCCAAAGTGACTGAAGAGGAAGAAGATGAAGAATATCTCAAGGATGAAGAAGATGGGCTGTCTGGGAATACACGACTTTTGACACAACCCTCCTGTATGCAAACTTTTTTTATAAATATAAATAAATACTCTATTTTATTACTAGTTACAACCGTTTTCTTATTTTAAAATGTTGATTGTTTTTTCCCTGAATGGCTGAATGTATACATAATACATGTAGTGAAATTCTTGAACTGATCAGCGACTGCTGGGATGGCATCCTATTGAGGCCTTGTCTCATATAATGTTTTTTCAAAGCAATCACTAAAGTTTTTTAATGTGTGTATTGTGTAATTTTTCTCAGTGAGTGCATGAAGCTTTTTAGTCAAGGGCTTCAAGCCCATATTTTATTGATAGCCGTCTCTATCTTCAGGTATTCAGGGAAAGATGCGTGACTACCAACTCGCTGGTTTGAACTGGCTTATACGGCTCTATGAAAATGGCATAAATGGGATACTTGCTGATGAAATGGTAAGCTTGTAAGCTGATCTGGTCACTTGCGCAACACCATTTAAATTAGAACCATGCACTTTTAAAGTGATTTTGAATGATAAGAATCTCATGTTTATCTTCTGTTTTGCCATATTGATTGTTCCAGGGGCTTGGCAAGACATTGCAAACAATCTCCTTAATGGGATACCTTCACGAGTTTAGAGGAATAACTGGTCCCCATATGGTTGTTGCTCCAAAGTCTACTCTTGGCAACTGGATGAATGAAATAAAACGTTTCTGCCCAATTTTAAGGGCTGTCAAGTTTCTTGGAAACCCAGATGAAAGGGCAAGTCTTTCTAAGGCTGCTTAAGCTAAATCTTCTTCTTTTTATTTTCAAAATTCTCATGAAATTATTCCTACCTTTCAGAGACACATACGTGAGGATTTACTAGTTGCCGGAAAGTTTGACATCTGTGTCACTAGTTTTGAAATGGTTATTAAAGAGAAGACTGCTCTTCGTCGTTTTAGTTGGCGCTACATTATTATTGACGAAGCTCATCGTATAAAAAATGAAAATTCTCTTCTGTCAAAGACAATGAGACTTTACAATACAAATTATCGACTTCTTATCACAGGGACACCCCTGCAGGTAACAATTTATTCATATTATAAAGTTGAGGCTTTGGCGTGAATCCGTAGTTTTAGGGAAAACCTTTGGTGCTATATTGATGTTGTCATGCCCCTTCAACTGGGTAGTATCTGATGAGAATGCAAGGCAACTGCTTCTTAAATCAATCTTGTAATTTATAATTCTGATGTACTTCTTTAAACAAATCCATTTTCTTAGCTCTTTAAGTATGCAGTGATTGTCTTTCATGGTGTAACTTTAATTATGCAGAATAACCTTCATGAACTCTGGGCTCTCCTCAACTTCTTGCTGCCAGAGATCTTTAGCTCTGCAGAAACTTTTGATGAATGGTTCCAAATTTCTGGTGATAATGACCAGCAGGAAGTTGTCCAACAGCTTCACAAGGTATTCTGTTCAGCTGCAAGCCTTTTCCTGTATACATAATCCTATCTGCCAAATGATGATTTGACGCTCTTGCTAGAAGTTTTTTATTTAGTACCTTATATAAGTAAATTTTCTTGCCAAAGGCTTCTTATTTAAGAATCATAAAGTGTTTCTCTCGCAGACTGCATACAAAACGTAAACATTAAATAGTATACCTCTAGTTTCTTTTGGTCAAGAAGTTTCATTTCAGATCACAAGTTTAGCTCTATTATTTTATACTCAGAAAGTTTCTTTATATCCAAGATTTAAATTATAAAGAAATTAAATACACCACTTCTTGGTGCTATTTTGGCTTCCTATTGATTCAATCCTCCTTGTCCAAACACAAGGTCCTTCGACCATTTCTTCTCAGGAGGTTGAAGTCTGATGTTGAGAAAGGTCTCCCCCCCAAGAAGGAAACAATCCTCAAGGTTGGCATGTCTCAGATGCAAAAGCAGTATTATAAGGCTTTGTTGCAAAAGGATCTAGAAGTTGTTAATTCTGGTGGAGAGCGCAAGCGTCTTCTAAATATAGCTATGCAGCTGCGGAAATGCTGCAATCATCCATATCTGTTCCAAGGAGCAGAACCAGGACCTCCTTACACTACAGGAGACCATCTCATAGAGAATGCTGGTAAATTGTGAATTTGTGATGTGTCTGTATTTTTGTAGGTGCTGTTGACTTGCTATTTGATCTCTGAAGATGCCTTTTTTCTTTGTTTATTTACCATAGGCAAAATGGTTCTTCTCGATAAGCTGCTTCCAAAACTAAAGGAGCGTGGCTCAAGGGTGTTAATATTTTCTCAGGTCTGTATATATCTAGAAATGATACTTTCTCCGCCCCAGAATTGTTAGACAAATGTTATAATCAGATGCTATAGTGAAAAATGACATTTTTTTAAATTTTAACGAATAACAGTTTTATATCACTTTCGTATTTCATCTATTCTTAAATAATTTTCTGTTTTACTTTTCTTGATCAACAAAATTCCATTTTTTTCTTTAACTTGTATCAATTTTTAGTCATATTTTTGTTTGGTGTTTGTGATTCAATAGAACTTATAGTCTAGTTTCTAAATATTTTTCTTTTATTACTAGTGTACTAGCTTGCAAATTATCTGGAAAGAATTAACTTCATGCTCAATCAACTCTTATACTGCTTTTTGTAAATCAATTAGACATTGAGTACCATTAAGTTATTTTGAATAGAAAATAAATTATTAGTTAAAGTTAAACTTCTTTGACCAAAAAGTCAAACACAGTAAATCTTGGTGTCATGAAAAAAATTAAAAAATATGTCCTTTAATTTCATTCCCATGACTGACATGGCATTGGGTAAGCAATTTCATCTGATGTTGTAATGCAGATGACCAGGCTTTTGGACATCTTGGAGGACTACTTGATGTACCGTGGTCATCAATATTGCAGAATTGATGGAAATACTGGTGGTGAGGATCGTGATGCTTCTATTGAAGCCTTTAACAAGCCAGGAAGTGAAAAATTTGCTTTCTTATTGTCCACCCGGGCTGGGGGTCTTGGAATCAATCTGGCTACTGCTGACATTGTAATACTCTATGACAGCGATTGGTAAGGATTTCTACTTATTCTGTTTGGTGGCAATAGATGCTTTATTTGTGTTGGTCAATATAGGGTGAAATCCAGAGGTTGATTAGCAAGCTCAGTTTGAGTCATATTTTATTTTTAACTCAAATAGCCTTGTGTCTACAAAATTGCAGGAATCCACAAGTTGATTTGCAAGCTCAGGATCGTGCTCATAGGATTGGTCAGAAGAAGGAAGTGCAAGTATTCCGGTTTTGCACGGAGGTTTGTTTTTGCTTTACATATAATGAGTAAATCTGGTGTATTGGCTAAAACTGATATTTCCAATTGCAATTTTATGAGCAGTACACTATCGAGGAAAAGGTGATTGAAAGAGCTTATAAGAAGCTTGCACTTGATGCTTTGGTTATCCAGCAAGGACGACTAGCTGAGCAAAAAAGTAAGATTATCCATGGTTGCCATATTTGGGATTTCTTCATCCTTCCAAAAAAGGAATAACAAATCTGGGATCTTTGGCTTAATTCTCTGCAGCTGTAAATAAGGATGAGTTACTGCAGATGGTGAGGTTTGGTGCGGAGATGGTTTTCAGTTCTAAGGATAGCACCATCACCGATGAAGATATTGATAGGATCATTGCTAAAGGAGAGGAGGCAACAGCTGAACTTGATGCCAAGATGAAGAAGTTTACAGAAGATGCTATCAAGTTCAAGATGGACGACTGTATGTTGTATTTCTTTTCATTGTGTCTGATTTATATTTTATACTACTATGTGTTTTGCTCTCGCAGAGTTTGGGCTAATTCTCTATCTCCTTTTATGCAGCTGCTGATATCTATGACTTTGACGATGAAAAGGTTTGTGTACAATCTAATGCCTTTGGCTAGTTTTTTTAAACAAATCCTGCATTTCTGATTTACTTTGGTGTCAATGAAGGATGAAAACAAGCTTGACTTTAAGAAGATTGCTACTGAAAACTGGAATGAGCCATCAAGAAGAGAACGAAAGCGCAAGTATGCTTCTAAAATTGGCAGCTGACTCTCCTTGTAAAATTCATTCCTTGCATTCATTCAATGATAAATGACCACTTTGTTATTAGTTACTCGGAGTCAGAATACTTCAAGCAAACAATGCGTCAGAATGGCCCTGCAAAACCCAAAGAGCCTCGAATTCCTCGCATGCCTCAGCTGTAATCATCTCTCCAGTTGATAAGTTGACAAGTTTATTCTAGCAATGTTTTATCTATGTGGACCTTAACTTTTTGCCTTTTTTGCCTTGCGCCTTGCAGGCATGACTTCCAGTTCTTTAACACACAGAGGCTCGGTGAGCTGTTTGAGAAGGAAGTTCGGTACCTCATGGTGTGTTCACAGTTCACTGCTCTTTGCAGTTCAATTGACATCTTTGTATACTCCCCCACCTGCCTTTCACCTTCTTAACTCATTCATGTTTTCTGATTACAGCAAAGGCAACAAAAGGTTCAAATGAAAGACACCATAGATGTGGACGAAACAGAAGGTATGTTAACAACATTCTGCGGATAGCAGTTTGGGAACATTTCTGATTTTCTTTTAATGAATAGTATCTTGCCTAGATGTTGGAGAACCTTTGACTGCTGAAGAACAGGAAGAAAAAGAACGTCTCTTGGAACGTGTAAGTTGCTGTTTTTACTCGCAACAAAACACATTTCTGCTTAAGCTGATACTAAAAACTTTTGTATTTATAGGGATTTTCAACGTGGAGCAGAAGAGACTTCAATACTTTCATCAGGGCCTGTGAGAAGTATGGCCGTAATGATATTAAAAGCATTGCTGCAGAAATGGAAGGGAAAACAGAAGAGGAAGTTGAACGATATGCAAAAGTTTTTAAAGAAAGATACAAAGAATTAAATGGTAATTTTTTTTAAAAAAAATCCACTCTTTTTTATTTCCTTGTACTTTACTTATTGTCTTTTTAATAATTTTTTTTTGCCAAAAAAAGGTAAAAAAGTTGATTAATGAAGGATGTCTGATGTTACGTGTTTTCAACATAGTACTTTGACTCTTGATATAATATGTTTTTTCCCAGATTATGATAGGATCATAAAAAACATTGAAAGAGGAGAAGCAAGAATTTCCCGAAGAGATGAGATCATGAAAGCAATAGGGAAAAAATTGGATCGTTACAAGAACCCATGGCTAGAGTTAAAGATCCAATATGGTCAGAACAAGGGCAAGTTTTACAATGAGGAATGTGATCGTTTCATGGTAAGATTTTTAACTTGCTTTATTAAGTTTCCATTTTTTTGGGACTCATTTCATACCATCATCTTCATAGCCCCCATAATTTAATTATTTTTCTTATTTACTACTCAGATGTGCATGGTTCACAAGATTGGGTATGGAAACTGGGATGAGTTGAAAGCTGCCTTTCGCACATCTCCTTTGTTCCGTTTTGATTGGTTTGTAAAGTCTCGAACTGCCCAGGAATTGGCGAGGAGGTGTGATACCCTCATTAGGCTTATTGAGAAGGAGAACCAAGAATATGATGAGCAGGAACGACAGGCCCGGAAGGAGAAGAAACTTGCTAAGGTTTGGTTCTTCCTTTCTTTTAAAAGAATTTAAGAAAATAGAAAACCTTTTGGGATTTTGTGACTTTCTGGGTCTAATTGACAACTAATTTCTCCCAACACAGATGAATGCTCCGTCAAAGCGGGCCGCTTTGCCAAGGCAATCAGCTGAGAGCCCTCCCAACTCAAAGAAACGGAAGCAATTATCAATGGACGATTATGTCAATTCGGTAACAATATCTTTCAAAGATAATCTCAACTTTTTTTGTTTCCTTCTGTTTCCATTCTTTTTCATGCAAGTCACTAGATCTGTTTTCCTTCTATTGTACAGGCAAGGAAGAAGAAATGATAGAAATTAAAATTCTTTTGCTGGATCCTGCAGCTGCTGTTTTTGGGTTAATATCTGGTAGACATTGTATATCTTGGACATGGATCTTAGCAGATTTGTAGCACAGATGCTTCTGTTTAAATGCATCTCTTGTAGTTTTTTAGATGTAGACATGTAGTTTATTAATGTCTACCCAACAGAATTCCATGCATATGGTCATAACCTGTGAAAAAATCACTGGGAAGCCATTTTTGTTTGTTACAAGAATACAAGGTATGAAGGGATGTAGACATGTAGTACCAATTAATTTAAAGCCTATGGGGATATTGCGAAATTATACAGATACTCTGTATTCCGTAAGGTGTAGCTCTTGGATATATTACAGGATTTTTAACGGGTTGACTAATTTCATCTCAAGCAACCCTTGGGCAAAGTAAAACCAATATTAGGAAATATATTACAGGATTTTGAACGGGTTGATTTTTGGGATAATTCCCGAAATGGGACAAAAAAATGTTTGTAAATTCCAAAATAGAAATGTTATGTTTTTACTTTTTTGAGTAATTATTGTCAAGTATGGAAAATTTTGGCATGTTTGAAGTCTGGTATTGCCAAAACACGATACTAATTAGTCTTATTTTGAGAATAAAAATATGATAGTCTTATTTTTGGAATTTACGAATGCTTTTAGTCTTATATAGGGTAAATGCCCTATCTTTTTAGATAGGACATTTTTTCGTAGTGTGTCTAATTAAATAATCTGATTTAGTAGTGTGTTAAGGTCTTGGGACTGGCCAGTTTCTGAATTGGAAATCCAGTGACTGGCAGTTCTGGTCCCCGTCTCCTAGTAATGTCATTGTGGGCTGCGTTTCTCCTCAATCATTCCTTCCTCAATAAGGCAGTGTCGTACTTTTCTAGTGATGGTCCATTTGTCCGTTCAGTTTTTCTTTTGAAGTTCTTGTCTGAATTTTTGCAATTCCTAGAGATATACGGAGTATAAATTTTTAAAAAGGGAAATTCTAATCACAGTCACCTATTTACCACGTATTTACTAAATACAGCCACAATTATTTTTCATTCCTATTATACCCTTCAAGGAATAAATTAGCACTGTCTGATCCGTTTCGGCTCTTCCAAATTCCAAAATGGAGTAGGGCTGGGTCCGAAAAACCGAAAACCGAAAACCGAATCAAATCATACCGAACCGTAGCCAAATAAAACCGAACCGCTAACAAACCGAAACCGAATGTAAAAAACCAAACCGAACCGCACTTGTTTGGTTCGGTTTTGGTTTTTATCCTTCAAAACCGAACCGAACCGAACAAACCGAACTAATAAAAATACAAAATTCATTTGTCAATTGTTAAGCATTAATCCTAACTAATCCTAATATCATTAATAGTCTTTAGTTTTCTTGTGCTAGAGAAATAATGTTTGTGTAATGTTTAATTTAGTTTAGTTTATAAATTTATTCACACATTCATTGCCTGTAATTGTTAGAACTTTTATTGTGAGTCAAGTTTGTTTGTAATGTCTTGTTTAAATAAATTAGAATAGATATACCATTTATGGTATTAGTTTTAATATTCATGATGTAATAAATAGGTAGAAGAGGGAATAAGGCCCAAAAAGGCTTTAGGCCCAAACTACTATGGAACCTAATTAGGTAAACTGTACTGCGCCTATAAATAGAGGCGTTCAGTATAGGTATCATATCGATCATTCCGCAAAATAGCCTTACGCTGTCAAAAGTTCTTCTCGATAAATAGAAAAGGAGTTTTCTCTGTTCTCGATATTGCTTAAATCATTCTGTGAAATCTTCCTATTCTGTTTAATTGATGAATTCCATCTAGCTAATCGTTAGTCTACAGCAAATCTGGGACCAACAGTCATAATGTAGCTATGCTGAATGAAGATAATATGTTTTTACTAGTTATCAGTATTAATTAACTTTTATTTTTTTTTTACTTAAAGAATTCATATTGATGAAACAATAAATATTCATCTCAATTATATTACATAGAACATATATACTCATGAACTTTTTTTGAACTAGTCACAAACAATGTAAGTTAATAATATATATACTTTTATCTCTCTCGCATACTCATATAATTCAAGACATATTTATTTATTTTCATTTTTATTTTATTTGTTGTAGTGTGCTTGCATTCTTTATGTAATATATTTGATCCCTCAAAGTATTTTATCAATTTTAAATCAAATGATTATTTTTTTGGTAAAAAACCGTAAAAACCGAAACCGAATCGAAACAAATCGAATCAATCAAACCGTGGTTCTAAGTTTTGGAGTGTGAAACCGAATCGAAACCGAACCGAACTTTTTACTTTGGTTTTATATTTGGTTTTAGGTCAAAACTGAACCGCAAGAACGGAACCCACCCCTAAAATGGAGTGTGTTATACGAAATGGAATGTGGACTGTAGACTTGTGGAATGACAGCCATGGAATTTCTGAGAAAACTCAAACTTGCAGTGGAGTCAGTGGACTTTTCTAATCCCTACGAGACGAGAATGATAATATTATTAAAGTTGTCTACATACAAACCAAAAGCCACCATTTCAAAGAAATTTCAGACTCTAATTATCAAATAAACCCATCCCGTATTCCTTTTCTCTTCGGAGGCCGGAGGAGCAGCGGATGGGTCAGCAATAGCAACCGCACCACCACCAGCACCAGCGGCACCCGGTCATCGATGTTCTTCTCACAGAGCTTGGCGAAGAGGATAAATCACTAGGAGTCCACCTGAACATCGGCCAGCCTTCACTATCCTAGCGATCTCCGCTGTGAGCCTGTGACAGGGAAATTTCTCCGTGGATGGCCATGGCATAAAGTGCAAGGATCCGCGCTGGTTACATCAATAGATTTAAGGGGTAACTGAGGCATTAGAGTAATTTAGTTGCTGTGTATAACAATTTGAGGGCTGCCAATAAAATTACCCCTTTAAAAACTGAAAAATTCGGTTTGGATTATGTTTTTACTGATGTCTAAGTTTGGTTCATCTGGTCCAAGTCCGTTTGTGTTTATTTAAGCTAGGTCAAATTTGTTTTGGTCTAAGATTGAAATTGAAATAACTTGAAACAAGCCCTCCCCTAGGAATGGACCTGTACCAGTCCCGGTTTTTAATTGAATAGACTGGAATCGATCCGGACGACTACTGTACGTGGTTCTGGTCTGGTCTGGTCTACCCGGACGGTCCTCGTCCGGTCCCGGGCCGGTTCAGGACCTTTAGATTAAAAAAAAACATTAAGTTACAAATTATTGTACACATCACAAAAATAAATGTATATTTATTTCAAACACTTGAGTTACGGATATTTTATCAATAATACATTTGGAAGTTACAATTGAGAATAATTTAAAGTCGAAAATCAAATTACATGTACTAATCATCCGAGTCGCTTCCGGCGTCGATTGTTGTTTCCTCCATGAAATGACAGTCCGGTGCTAGACATCTTGAGTTTTATGACGGGCCTTCAATCAATCATGGAAACAAACGAGTGTCTCAAGAGATTGAAGCGCTCAACCTCGTTCTATAACCGTTGAAACTGGTATCGACAACACTTGTTTGGCCATTTTTGATAAAACCGGAAACATCCCTTCGTGACTCTTCTGCCATTGGAGAATATCAAAGTCGTTCGCTTCATTATGCTCAATAGGAAATGTTAGATATAAAGACACCTCGTTAATCCAATATTAGAGCACACAAATCAGTAACTTTTAAATATATTGATTGTGGTGCTACCCACAACTTCATCTCACAGAAGGTTGTTGATAAATGGAAGATACCATTTAGTTGCATCAAGGGTTATGTAGTGCAAATAAGGGTTATGCAGTGCAAATAGGGAATGGAGAATTTCTTCCCAACAATGGCAGATGTGAAGGGGTAACATTGAATATACAAGGAAATAACATTATGCAGAAATTCTACATTTTGGACTTGGGTGGAACTGATGTGATGCTGGGAATGGAGTGGTTAACTGGCCTAGGAGATATGGAAGTTAACTTCCAGAACCAGACTTTAAAATGGAGAAAACAAGAGCAAAATTATATTATCCAAGGAGATACTGCCCTAAATCAGATGGATGTTCCATTGAAAACTGTCACTAACATTTTACAGAATACAGGGGATGGATACTTGCAATACTGTGAAGGTATAGAGCAGGAACAAAAGCACATAACAACTCAGGATGAGACAGGGAACAGGATGGTGGAAGAATTTCCTGAAGTCTTTAAATGAACTCTACATCGGCTTCCTGAAGGACCTGTGATCATGCAATAAATATCATAGAGAGCGCCAGCATACCCAACATCAGACCATACAGTCCCAAGAAATACTTGACAGATGTTACACTTTCAAGGAGTGAAGCAACTGAAATTCAAGGACTTGAGTTATATCTTGTAGCTAAAGCTATTAACAAATGGAAGATGGAGCAGTGGGTGATTAGTAAAGCCCAGTTGCATCATGATAAAAACCCCCAAGATGCTTTGAATGTAGAGAATCAGAATCTATTGATGCGTTTGCTAGAAGAAGTAAGGAGGATAAGTCAAGTAGGGAATTTCATGGCTCTGAAACCAGTGAGATATTGGGAAGGTAGAAGCGCCAGAAGGAAGAGAGAGCGGAAGATCTTGGCTGTTTCCTATCACCCACCTTGATGACAAGGTGGATGTTTAGGAGGGGAGTATTGATAGTGATACAACTGTACTTAATAAAGAAGATAAATACTATGACCGAGTATATTGTAGAAGGAATAAAGAGACTAATTAGTTGATAGTTAAATTCTGTTGTTAGCTATTAACTACTTACGGTTAAGCTAGATGGTTATGAATAGAATAAGTCTGGGAGAGGTCAGTAGGCTGTTTAGACTTTTGTCTTGGGACTGGGAAGTTAGAGAGTTATCTCTTTCTTTTGGGGGCTTTAGCCATTGAACTGTTCATCTTTAATAAAGATTCCATTTGTTTCTTGATATTGTTCTGTAAATTTCTTTGTACTTTGGGATAGATTTATCATCGAACAATGTGTATTGATGTTTGATTGCATTTATAGAGAACAAATAGTGCCATACTTCATTGTGTTTTTGGTTTTAGTAGTTGGCTACTTTTTTTCACATGATTTGCTTCTCCATTACCACTTCTGATATTTATAATCTTGTCTTAGGATGGTGGTAGGATTGGTAGTGATCTATTCATCTATATGGGATATCTAAATACGGAGTACCATTTTACCCTAGCTTGAAGCTTTCCCTGAAAAGTTAATATGCTTTCGGGTTCTACAATGATAATGTGGTTTTAAAATGAATAATTCCAAATAAGCTGGTTTATTCATCGACTTACCCCCACCCCTCGTTCCTCTTTAATTTTATGAAAAATTATTCTAACTGTTGGGACCGGAACCGGG